TCTCCAGGACTTTTTCATCTTGCAAAACTGAAACTCTGTAGCCATTAAACAACAGCCCCCCTTCCCCCTCAGATAGTTTTTATTAAGTAAAAATTCATAACTTCTATATATCAAAACTTCACAAATAAAAGGGCAAGCCACAAAGTAGAAGACAGAGCCCCTCTACAGCAAATTCTACATGAAGTGCTTTTGTATGTGCCAAAGGAAAACGCTGGAATAGCAAAGTTGACTCAAAAAGTTGAAAAGATAATTCATAAAAGAAAAAAGGCCAATGAACCTAAAAAATAATATTTAACCTCATTAGTAGTCAAACAAATGTATATTAAAATACTAGTTTTGCTTCTCAGATTGGCAAAAAGATTTTCAACGACAGTGCTCAGTGCCAAGAGTTACTCTCTCAGGGTGACCGGCAGGCTCGTACCTGCTGGTAGAAACATAATGCAGTACAGCTGCTGGAGTTTTATTCGACACTATGTTTCAAAATCTTAAAATAGTCCTAACTTTTGACCTAGTAATGTCACTTTTAACATCCTGTCCTCAGGCAAGAGCAATGTGCCCAAAGATTTCTTTACGAGAATGTATATCACATCATTATTTATAAAAGCAAAAATGTATAAGCAATCCAGATATCTGACTGTAGAACACTGGCTACATAAAGTATAATGCATGCAAATGACAGAATTCCTGAAGAATTTTTAATGAGAGGCTCAAGCTAAGTGGAAAAAAACAAAAGAGCAGAAAAGAAAACTGTACGTATAAGCATGCATAAAGGGAAAAAAAAGGAATAGAAGGGAATACACCAAAATGGTGGCTATCTCTGGGTGGCAGAAGATTTGAAATTTTCAAAATCAGAATATTAAACATTTTCAGTAGCGATTATGAGTTTTCAGTAACAAGTATGTATTGCCCTTATAATCAGAAGAAAATTGTATAAAAGGGAAACTTTTAAAAAATACTTAGTATACATAACATATGGAAATATTTTTTAAAATTTAAATTTCCATACACTGTTCAACTAATTAATCTGACTTAGTATTTGTGAAATTGGACGTAGGGCTCAATATATAAATTTGTGAAAATTGGAATTTTGCTCCTGTTCTGAGAGTTGTAATACTTTTTTGTGGCTGTTTTTAAAATGCAACTGAAACACTGGAATAAATTGTGTAAGAATTTTATCTTGGAAGGTTGGATTTTTCTCTTCAGGTAGTTAGACTCTTACATTTAGTTAAATTGAATTTTAACCTGGTTTTGATACTTGTGGTTTTAGGAACCTGAACTTACTACTTCAGGAAGTATTACTGAATAGATTAATATAAGTATTACTATGACAGATTAACTATTTCTGTCAGGTGTTCTGTGAACCTAACTACCATTTATATATATGTGTGTATACATATCTTTTTTTTGCTGAGGAAGATTAGCCCTGAGCTAACATCTGTCAGTCTTCCTTTATTTTGTATGTGGGTCGCCGCCACAGCATGGCCACCAACGAGTGGTGTAGATCCATGCCTGGAACCGAACTTAGGCCACCAAAGTGGAGCATGCTGAACTTAACCACTAGGACATGGGGCCAGCCCCTACCATTTATAATTTTGATACACTGGCAGAAAATAAAATCCCAAATTCCAAACAACATTCATATGTTTGGAAAAGTCCCTGTCAGATACATGAATTCTGATAACATTGCTTTTTGTTGTTGTTGTTGAGGAAGATTGGCCCTGAGCTAACATCTATTGCCAATCTTCCTACTTTTGCTTGAGGAAGATTGTCCCTGAGCTAATGTCTGTGCCAGTCTTCCTCTATTTTTATGTGGGACGCTGCCATAGCATGGCTTAATGAGCAGTCTGTAGGTCTACGCCTGGGATACAAACCCACGAACCCCAGGCCACCAAAGCAGAGCATGCGAACTTAACCACTACGCCACAGGGCTGGCCCCCAACATTGCATTTTTAATTATTATTTTGCAAATATTTTTAATCTTCATAGTCTCACGAAGAATTTTATAAAAATCTGTTACCTAGGATGAAAACACTATGAGAGAATGGAGTCTTATTTACATCAATATTTCTTTCAACACTGTACTTGAGGGATAAAAATGCCTGCTGAGTCGCCCAACCTGAGTGACTGGCAGCCATTTAAAATACAGAGAACTGAATGAAGGTTGCAAAGGCCTGATTCAGGTCACGTCCACTGAGCAAGTTCCCACAGATAGTGCAGAAACTTTGAGAACCTGTGGACCCTGGATAGGGATGAATTGTGGAGAGGGGGAGAGTGAGTTGATGCTCTCAGTGGTCGGGGGACCCTCTCCAAATGCTAGCTGCTTCCTGCAGCAGGAGTGACCCGCTCAGTTCCAGCTTGGCCCAAGGACCCTGGCAGAAAACCTGATCTGACCTGACATGTGATTGGTACCAAGCCTCAGCCAAGAATGTGCTTGCTGGGAAGGGCATCCATCACTTGTACCATTAGACACAAACGTTTGAGGGCCTTCTGTGCCAAGAGGAATAAAAGAAGCAGATAAACCCCTCACGTAGCAGTCCACCCCCAAGTTATGGGAGTGAAGAGCAGCTTAAGAACCATGAATTTGCTTTAAATATTCAGATGAGTTGGGAACTGACCACATCCCAGTCCTCTCTGAGCCTAGAGTGGCGGGTGAATCAGTCAGCACCCATTCATTCCAGAAGCCAAGAAAATAGCAAAACCCAAAAGGCCTTTCAGAGAAGGAGTTAAAAAACGCGTGATGCAAACATATATTTCCAACTCTGCTTCTTAGATGGAAAAATCTCTTCACAAATGAAGTGGGTTTTTTTCCCCTTCTCTTATAGCCTCAGAAAAAGAGATTTTTTTAAACACATTTTCTTAAATCCATACTAACTTGAAATGATGCTAAACATTTTCAAGTCTTCACTCTTAATCACAAAATCATGTATTTTTTGGTGCTATAAGAGGAGCACAAACACATACCCATCTGTGTCTCCTTAACATCTCTCCTTCTATCGTCTCCTTTGAACAATCACAGAAAATTCAGAATCGTGTCCTGGCATAATTGAATTGAATCCCCGGGGTCTCTGTTTCTGATTTTCTTCCATTCCTGCTCCACTAAACCTACAATTAAAACAGAAGTTCTGTGTCTGCAGGCTAATGAGACAAATAATAAAACACACACAGGCAAATCCATATGTTTGGTTTTTTTAATCCTCTGCTCCTTAACTTTATTTTGCTAGGAGATGAATGCCAGGAGTTGAGGGAATTTATCTTTCAACTTGTTTGCGAGGAACAAAATTCAGTTTCATAATGAGCATCAACCGTTCCATGTAAGAACTCCCCGGCAGCCCTTCTTTCATGACCACATCACGTTTATCTACTGCATTGGGATGTGGGTTCCCTTTTGGCTTTATCCTATCCTGCTGCTGTGTGATAACATTTGTTTATTTTTTATCACCACACCTTCCTCTTCACGCTCAACCTAAAGTTATCTCCTTTGATCTGGAAAGATCCTCCGTGAAGAGGATCCAGCTTTAAACAAAACCAGCTGATGCCCACAGTAACCAAGGTTTGGTAATTTCTGCATTCTGTTGCATTTCATAGCCGTGTTCCCAAAGAGACAGTCATTATTTTAGAGTCTCTCAGCTTTCAATATCTTTCGTCTCATATGAAGATACAACTGAAAATCAGAACACACCAGCCACACACTTCTTGATATTTAATACATTTAGATCATTTTTCATCTGGTGAAAAATTTCATTCCATCAAGGTATGGTGATGTACATACTGTGCTGTGTAAAAGCAGTTTGCTTTTGAGGATTATAGTCCTACTACAGATTGAATATTTACAGTTATGTCGCTTTCAAAGTCACCCAGTCAGAGTTGCTAATTTTAGCCAGCTCCGTGAGTCTCATAAGAGGTTTCTTTCTAAGCTGTCGGTTTCCAGCTGTGGCACATTAAAATACTTTTCTAGAGAGGCAGCATAGTCACAGAATGATACTTCTGGATTTTCTGTGTTCTTTCTTGGATTTGGACAAAATTAAATAAAAGAAATGCCCACGTTACAAAACCTACTTTGCCAACAGGAACAATTCTCGGCAATTTGAAGGAACAGGGCCCATGGTATTTCTTCTATGAATTTCTTCTGGTCTTCCTCTATTCTCTTTTTACGGCTGTAGCCAAAATAGGAAGAGAGAGAGAGACAGTGTGTGTACGTGCGTGTTGGGGTTGGGGGAGAGAAAGAGAGAGGTGGGGGGGCACCTCTGGGGGAAGTGGAGAGAGGAGGGTGGGTCCTGCCTTGCTGTGGCTTCTGCTTTTCTCAGAGAACTTCAGAGAATGACTGTAATACCAGTTCTAAACGAACAACATATGACTCTTATTTTCATCTCCCCTCCACCCCTCCACGGGTTTCCTATGTGTACTTCAAATGCCTGATACCCTTGGTATGACAACTGCTCGTGTTACTCTGGCCTCAATCACTTTATCAGGCAGCAAGATTTTTTTTGCTTTTCCAAGAGGCGAGCAACTAAACCTGAGGTCCTGCAGGGGCTTTGCAAAATGCTGCTCAGTCTCTTGAGCCATCAGTGACAGCTCGTCTGGGTTTCATCAGCTCACTGGGGCTGCATTTTACCAGGCGCCTTTGCCAAGGCCTCCCCGGCAGCGTCAACAAGTATTGCACCTACTGCAGAAAGCCCTCAAGTTTCATCACGGTGATGCTAAAAAATATTCTCCAGGCTTCAGCAATGACCTAGTTCATTCAAGGGCAGGGGAAAAAAAAATGCTCTTCTTCCAGGACTCCCCTGAGCACGGAATTTTCCCTCTTAGGAAGATAGGAGCTTTTCTGGAAACAGACCCAACTGTGCTTTGACCCGTTCGTGGAAAAGACCCTGAACCCTGTAACTCCTCTGAATCCCCAGTCCCAGGAACAGGGACACCCAATCAATGCCTCACACACAGCCTGGGGAGCCCACAGCCGAGCCAGCCCTCCTATCACGTCTCTTGGACAAAAAGTATTGAAAAGTAAGTATCTAGACTTTGGTTTTTATATAAGGAATGGCTGTGCTTTAAATATGTAGTTGTTTACATTTTCTATGGTAGGGAACAAAGCAGATTCTTTCCTTATGAAATAGAACAAGGTAAAACAAGGAGGGGCTATACAGCATATTTGGGTATGTAGGGTTTTAAAGTGGCCAAATTCTCATGTTTAATTTAGGTCCACTCTGACCCTTTTTGGAAATTTTTTTTTTAATGTCTGTTTATTTTGGCTTGACAATAATTTAAAAAGATTTCTTCCACATCATGGCTATTTCAACAATTAGGAAATAAAAATATGTAGGATGATTCAAAGGAGTAATTTGTAAAGACTTTGCAAAGTAACATGAAAAACTGAGTTACCTGTCCAGAGAATTCAGGCACTGGACACTTTTGCCTGAAATATTTGAGTATTTTAATCAAAAGTTATTCCTTTTACTTGGATTATCTGGATGATTGAAAACCCCCGCTTTCTGAATGGACACAGCAGTATCTTGTCTGACAAGAGGAATGCAAGTTGCTGAAAAGCTATCGGGCATTTGCAAATGGCTGATGCAAGCATTTGTTGGGTCGTTAAAATAGATTTTCTTTCCTTTTCCTTTTTTTTAGTGTGGTAAGAACACTTAACATGAGATCTACCCTTTTAATAAATTTGTAAGTGTGCAATAGAGTATTATTAACTGTAGGCATGACGTTGTACTTGAGTTGTTAAATAGATTTTTTAAAAATTTAAGGCAAAAAGTCAACCCCCAAAATCCATCGATCAAATGGCACCACTGTCACGTTACGTTTTGGTGAACACATCCAAACTTCAAACCACTGATTATGGGTGTCAGTTACAGACATCTAGCAATCATTTAAAAATAGATAAAAGCAAGAACAGCATTTAGAGCTGCTTCTGCTCTAATTATTTCCCTTCTACAGCATTTTCCTTAAGTAAAGGTAGCCTTCAGTTTTGAAGATTAAATAACCAGGAATGTAAGAGACGTTTTATAACAGCATACCAGCTAAGGATAAATTGAACAAGTGTCTTTGCTGTGAGGCTTCCGAACTGAAACCCAGGATGTTTTGAGCTACCTTCTGCATGGATAAACCGACGAGTCTTGTATTGAAATGCACCGATGGTCAATACACACATTCAGATCTTGGAAATCTGGATTTAAAACAAACTAAATGTATTTTAGCTCCCAAATTACATGGCCCTGTAAAGTTTCTGCAAAAAATTCATTCACAATTTGGGGAACATTTTTAGGCAGGGTGGAATTCCTATTTTCTTCACCTGCAAAGAACCCCCCCCACCATTAATTAGTTTTTAACAGCCCCATGCACACTACACGCAGATATCAGCCTATGCAAGGAGTGTGCGGTGGAGCATTGTCTGGGTGGAGGTGGGGGAAGCAGCGTGGGGCTGAGGAAGAAAGCCCAGACCCTGGAGTCAGATTTGGAGACAGTTTTCCAGCCTGTCTGAACTCCAGTGTTCTCATCTGTAAAATGAAGATAACAACATCCACTTTGACAAGATCAGTGGGGGGTTAGATGAGTGAATATGCCTGAGGTACCATAGTTTCTTCACAAAGGCTGGTTCTTCCCATTGATTCATGAAAAAGCTGCTCTCTCTTTTTTTGCTAAAACTTTGGAATGTCTTCATAATATACACCATTAAAGTAATAGACATTACTTTCATGTCGATTAAAGTAATACCCATTTTTGACATCAGTGCAATAATTAAACAAAAATAACATAGAAAATTAGATTCTTTTGAAGAAAATTTTGTACTTAAAAACAATGTGTTTGACAGCAAAGTGAAAAAGGATTATATTTTAGAATGCCTCTACAATAAATAAGAAAAATATTTTTGTCTGAAAATGATTGATGGTGTATTTATTATCTAAAAAGAGAGAGAGAGAGATTTCTCAACGTCACCTGGTAATGCTTTTTAGCGCATATCAGTCTCATATTTAAATAGGAGTTTTCATGAGTCCATAGGAATGGAAGGCAAAGGTAAATCTATGCATAGAAGATGACGTCTGTGATTACTATGAAAGTAAGGCAGGAGCCCAGCCCTTCCTCAGAGATTATAGTTGAGCCGTGCATCTGGGTCCCTTTTTGCGTAGACACAGGCATGGTAGAGTGAGGGGGTAGGAGCAGGGTGAGAATGCTCTGAAATGGACTAGCCTTTGGGGGACGGGAGCTTTGTGGGCCATCTCAGGAGCCATGGCTGGAATCTCAAGGTCAGTGATGACGGTTCAGAACAGAGTGCTCCCTTGTCCTGGGGTGAGGGGGAGTCAGGCATGGAGGGATGGAGCAGGCAGGAATCATAAGCAGGGTTCACGGGACAGCTCTGAAGAATTTTATCAGTGTCTTTATTGCCCTGTTGTCTTTACTGAGATGCCCCACAGATTTTGCCCAGGCACATCAGAACATCTTGATAAATTCTTTGCTTGAGTTACTGACAGGTTCTCAAGGAACCCTGTTATTCTGGGCTTAATTCTGCCAAAAAGGAAATCTGGAAATTCAGAAATGTAAAGAAACTTGGGAGAAAATGATCATGTCATCTTAGGTTTGGTAAAAATGAAAGAATAAACACCCGAGCCACAAGAGGGAAAAGAACATGTGAAAATGTTTAGAGCCCTCATTGAGGTTTCTGCCAACGCACACCCACCCAGCACAGACCAAACTGACCAGGAGAATTTGGACATCGAGTTGAAGAGATGGACCCAGGTTGCGGAGACGTCAGTTCTGGATAGTTTACTTCTGAATACATAGCGCCCTACCCCTCCCAGGGCCACCTCCTCCATGGCTTCTGCCGGTACATCTGGGGCCGCACAGCTCAGCTTGATCTTCACTTGGTCTTCAGTCCTGTTCTTAGATAACCAGGCTCATTCACTCCTCAGTCAGTAGTTTAAGACGTTCCTCTAGTCCAGTAGTTCTCAAACTTTAAAGTGCAACAGAATTTAGAAAGCTTGTTAAAACACAGCTTGCTCAGTCCCACCCCCAGAGTTTCTGATTTTGAATGTCCCAAGAATTTGCACTTCTGACAAGTTCCCAGGATGCTGGTGGTGTGGTCCAGGGACCACACTCTGAGAAACACTGCTTTAGCCATTTCTTTGACCTGTAATTCCTGAAGAAAACCTATTTGCACGTGTTCTTTTCAATTACTAAAATTGCCTACTTCTCAGGGATGCAGAAGGCACAACCACAAGATGCTAGAGCTGAGGAGAGCACAAAAGATAAACCCATCAGGTGTCCTTCGGGCAAACAGCTTGCAGTGGAGGGTGGGGGACTGGGTGTGGGGAGAAGACACTGAGGCAGTGGTCCATCATTTGGGAGGGGGCATTTTTTCCAGCTGAGGCTCTCAGGGGAGGTTTCAAGGACAAGCTAGCACTTGAGCTAGGGTTTGAAAACTGGTGGCATTTGAATATATAAAGATGGAAGGTGGTCCATCTGTGTAAAGGAAACAACAACAAAACATGGAAGGCAGAAAGAGCTACGATGAGAATAGAAATCAGAAATTCGTTTGGTTAGGCTACGTTTTCTACAGTTGTCCCCGGAACTTTCTAGGAGAAACATTCTTTGATTAAGCCATCTAATCGTAAATCCTTTACTTCTGTCTATAGCTTGGTGAAGGCATATCCGACATAGAGATCTGGAATAGAGGCCCTCTGGTAGGAATTTCAGGCACCATGGGCCAGGGAGGGGAAGGTATGGATGATTCAGTATGCTTTCTAGATGTAACAATCAACTCAAACTGGCTTAAACAATAGCGGACATTTATTGCTCACAGAACTGAGAAGTCCAGGCGTTTGGTCAGGTTCTCTGCATTCCTGGAGGCTGTGTTTCTCTGTGCTTTAGTTTCCACCTCACAGCCTCACTAGTTTTCTCTCAGTCTCATATGGCTATCAGCCACCCCTTGAGTCCACAGGCTTTCTTTTTCCCGTTTAGAGGACAGAGTAAAAGACCAAAGCTTTGCCCTGATTGGATCACTGCTCAGCTACTTTCTTGAGAGAGGCATGTGCTGATTGGCTTATACCTTGGTTAATGAACCAATCACCAGGCAAGAGTACTTGATCACTCTACACCAATCAGAGTCCACTGTCCCCAGGCTCGAGTGATGGGAGTGGCGTGGAACGGAGTTAGGAGGACCATTGAAAGGGCTGCTTTAGGAGCTTTTGGATATTTTGGAGAAAGGCCGCTAAAGTCATGCTATCTTTTCCCTTAGTCATAAGGTGAGCATGGGCAGTGTTCATACTTTAAAGATGTAGGGTGGGCCAAGTTAGAATATTCTCCCACAGAATGGTCCTGCCTTTGAATGGAATGGACGCTTGGATACAGAACTATTCCACTCCTACCCCGGCGCTTTTCGCTCGGTGTGGTGCGCCTTCTCTCTCAGGCACACTTCACCAAAAAAAAGATTAGATACAGAAAGATTAAAAAAATTCTTCAGAAAACAAGGCAAGAGGAGGCAAAAATAAAGTTTTCTCCTAAGACCTTCAGACTGGCTGGGTTGAAGGATGATGGTGGAAGGTGGCGGAGGTAAGACTGACATTCTCCACAGCACCCTGTCCCTGGTCCTCAACTAGCTGACTTATTTGAGCCGGTTTACTTACTGAGAGGTGATTGGTTCCTCGTAGTAACTCCAGGCTCAGTTCATTACACCAGGGGAGGTCTTATTCTTGCCCACTACAGGGCTGGGAGTGGGACGGAAGAGAACCTGACATTTCCCAGGTACTCCACTATACTGATTGATGCCTGAAATTCCACAGGGTGTCGCCTCTTGGTCCCATTTAAAATAAACAGTCTCCAGTAAAGTATAACTCGGAGTTGCTCTGGGGTTTTTTGTTACAGGAAAAGCCAGCATGAGGACACAGGGAGCCAGGGACAATGTGGAGGAGAAGAAGAGGAACCAGAGGGAGGGTTTCTTCACTACACAGTGATGACCCTGATGACACATGCCTAGCTTGAACGCAACCATCAGCCCACCACATTCAACCTCAAATCAAAGTCATTTTAACCAGTTAATTCACGAAAGTTGGTCTCATTAACAACACTGTCATGCTCTGCATGTTTATAGCATTATGGTCTTTCCTCTCTTCCCTGTCTTTACCCTGAGAGAGGACAAGGACAAGATAGGCAGAGGAATGTATCCTTTCAACATAGTAAATTGAAAATCAGAATCAAGAATCCTGAACTCTACCACTAACAAGCTGTGTGACCTTGGAAAACTCTTTTTTTTTTTTTGAGGAAGATTAGCCGTGGGCTAACATCTGCTGCCAGTCCTCCTCTTTTTTGCTGAGGAAGACTGGCCCTGAGCTAACATCCATGCCCATCTTCCTCTACTTTATATGTGGGACACCTACCACACCAGCATGGCTTGCCAAGCCGTGCCATGTCCATACCCGGAATCTGAACTGGCAAACCCTGGGCCCCCGATGCAGAACATGTGCACTTAACTGCTGCGCCAGTGGGCTGGCCCCATGGAAAACTCTTTTAACCTGCCTATGTTTCAGGAGCATTTTTCAATTGTAAAATCAGAGAAGGTACTAAACTCTCTCAAGGGTTTATTTAACCTTGAGCTATTTTTTACCCTCCCTTAAAGAACTGGACACTGCCACAGATTTTAAATAGCAGAGGAGAGGAGTACCAGTAGGAAGACCCTATTCCACCTAAAAAAAAAAAAAAATTCAAAACAAATCCAGAGAGAGAGAGCAGCAGCTACTGCTCAGCATTCACCATATCCATGTGTCTGGGACTTGGAATTGCTCAATATTAATATTTTAAAATTATGGGGCTGGCCTGGTGGTGTAGTGGTTATGTTCGATATGCTCCACTTCAGTGGCCTAAGGTTTGTGGGTTTAGGTCCTGGGCATGGAGCTACACCACTCATCATGCCATGCTGTGCTGGTGCCCCACATACCAAATAGAGGAAGACTGGCACAGGTGTTAGCTCGGGGACAATCTTATTAAATTGTATTTGTTTATTAGGTAACATTTATAAATTAAAAATATCCAAAAAGATGTGCAGAGACAATCACTATCTCAACCACGTCCACTCCTTTCCCAGGACACTCGGGCCTCCTCCCCAGGGGCAGCCAGGTTACCAGTTCCTTGTGTATTTCTAGAATCATTATGTGTATAAATAAACATATTCGAATATTTTTCATTTTTTGCTTATATAAGTGATAGTAGACTATATATTCTTCTATACTTTATTTCACTTAATAATATGTCTTGGAGATTATTCCATATCAGTGCATACAGAACTGCCTTATTCTTTTTTAATGCCCATTGCTGTTAAAAATAAAAAATCCCATTGTATAGATACACTGTAACCAGATGCCTATTGATGGACGTTGAGGTCACCTCCAGTCTTCTGCAATCGCAAGCAATGCGGCAAGGAATCTTGTAGGTGCTTATTAAAAGTTTGTCTCCTGGCCTCTGTTTTAAAAATTAACTTTATTGAGGCATATTTTGCATATCGTGTAATGCACCCTTTCTAAGTGTTCGATTCAATGATGTTTTTAGTTAAATTTATCAAGTTGCACAACCATTGCCATAGATCAGTTTTAGAACATTTTCATGACCCCAAAAAGATCCCTCATGCACATTTATTGTTAACTTGTGTTCTCCCCACTGCCTCCACCTCCATCAACCACTAATCTACTTTTGGTCTCTAAAGCTTCTTTTGAACATTTCATATAAGTGGAGTCATGCACTATGTGGTCTCTCGTGTCTAGCTTCTGTGACTGAACGTAAGGATAATGTTTCTGAGGTTCATCCATGTTGTGCCGTGTATCCTAGTTTGCTTCTTTTGATTGCTCTGTAGTGTTCCACTGTATGACTGTACCACATTTTGTCTATCTAGTCAATAGTTGGACATTTAGGTTGTTTCCAATGGACATTTAGGTTATTTCCAATTTTGGGTTATTATGAATAATCTTGCTAAGAACATTTGTGTGCAAGTCTGTGTATGGATATATGTTTTCATTTCTCTTGGGTAGATACCTCAGAATGGAATTTCTGGGTCTTTTGGTACATTTTTCTTTAACTTATTAAGAAACTGCCAAACTGTTTTCCAGAGTGTCTGTACCATTTTGCATTCCCACCAACCACGTAGGAGGGTTGTTTTTTTCCATATCCTCGCCCACATTTCGCCATCTATTTTATTATAGCCATCCTAGCAGGTGTGAAATGCTATCTCATTGTGGTTTTAATTTGTATTTCCATAATGACTAATGATGCTGAGCATCTTTTTATGGGCTTATTTTCTGGCCTCTGTTTCTCATATATAACCCTAAAGTCGTATCCAAGAAAGAGCACAATGCTTGAGCTTCAGCAAACCTGGACTCGTACCTCAGCCCTGCCACTTGCGGGCAGTGAAGAATTAGGTCTGTTATATCGACTCTTTCAAGTTACCTTAAACTTACAAGTCATTGTCTGTGAAACGGGAATGAACACTTACCTAGTAGTTCACTGTGAGGATTAAATGCAATAATGTCTATGAAGTGCCCAGCCTGGGGGCTGACATGGAGAAGGCACCCAAAACATATTAGTTGTCTCCCTCCACCTCCCAAATTTTTAGAACCCATCTTTGGAGAGAGTACTTTCCCCTAAGTAACCTAGGGGCTGGGTGTTAAGTGACAGTAGGTGTGGCATCCAAATGTATAGTAACTCAGATGGCAAATTCAGGAACCCAACTGTCATTAGATTAGGCTGGGTAATCAGAACTAATCCCTCCTGTCCCCAGTGAGAAAGCGCTCTGACAGCTGGCTTTCCTGCCAGCTCCAGGAGAGCTGGTTACCCATTATCTGCATGTGGGCTGGGAGCCCTCCCTTACCCCTTCCGTTGTCAGCAACCTTCCTGCTGACAGCAGTCACGCCGCCAGCTATCTGTGCAGGGAAGATCAGCCAAAGTAAAACTTGGCCTCAGTTGAGGGCT